AAAAAGAAGAAGAAGAGGACAGAGAAAAAAAAATACTGTCTGAATAGATGAATAAATGTTTTCTTGCATGAATGAAATATGTACCAAGTTAAACTGACATCTTATGTACACTCTCGAATAATTAAACACTCTCAAAAACTCTCAACCCGGGACTTCTGGTTAAACATTAAAATAACTATTCATACCACAAACAATTCCACTCTATTACATCGTTAGACATGACGTAGCACAAGAATAAACTATTAACCTAAAGGAAACATCACAACCACTTTTCCCTGATGTTTTACATCATATTAAATGTATTTCTAACTTTTACCATTGAACGATATTGGGTCCAATTTGCTTGATATTGTGTTGTGTACCTTACCGTCTCAATAGCACCACGATTTTCATGTTCGACTTGCTGAGTTGTTGTGGTGATTCGTTGTAACATTTGTATAACTTTGTTAAGTAAGACATTATTATAACATTGTGAATACAATCGTATGCAAGCTAATGTTACATGTATGTAAAATATATTTTAAAAGACTACGTATATTAAAGTGTGTATCTGATATGATGTACGACTTCTGTTGTTTTCTTTTTTTTTTTCTTTTTCATCTTCTTCTTCTTCTTCTTCTTCTTCTTCTTCTTCTTCTTCTTCTTCTTCTTCTTCTTCTTCTTCTTCTTCTTCTTCTTCTTCTTCTTCTTCTTCTTCTTCTTCTTCTTTTTCTTCTTCTTCTTCTTCTTCTTCTTCTTCTTCTTCTTCTTCTTCTTCTTCTTCTTCTGCTGCTTTTTCTTCTCCTTCAAGAAAAAGAAGAAGAAGGAGGAGGAGATAAAGAAGAAGTGAAAAGATCAGTCCGTAAAAGGATGTCAATTTGTCAGTCTCTTGCTTTGTCTGTCTGCTGTTTTTTCCGTGACGTGTCAATCTGTTCTTCCTACTAACTGTCTTCTAGTTGTTGTATCAAATGACTGTGTTCTTTTAGTCGCCCTCCGTGTCTTTTTGACTGCATGTCTCTCTTTATGCACCGATGTCTCTATTTTTGTCTGCCGGTCTGTATATATGTTTGTCTTTAATATGTAACTATCGACCTACATTTCCCTTTAACACCGGTCCCTCTTAGCACTTATATATAAATGAATTGAAACTTACACACACTCATAATTTTTTTTGATTTCCCGGGTCCTAGTTTAATGTCTTTATCAATAACCCATGTAATAATGGTCTCTCTAGTGTTGAACATCCGCTGCAGTATGTTCGTACTCAGCCCCTACGCCACATCGATCGCTTCTTCATTAAAACACCTGGGACAAACTTATCGACAAGAACACCTGCTTGTTTCTACTGTGTCTATGAAAATTTCTTTATATAAAAACACTTTTGACTGTAAATACTGTAGACCATAAACTCGAAATCAAGTCTTCATTTCTTCAACAAAGGTTGGGGCTAGGAAATATCGCTTGTATGTCAGGTGTATGTGCTACTAATGGGAACACGTTTGATGGATACATGAATGTATGTGTTTGTGTTTTCTATAGGGCAGCAAATATATAAAAAATAAAGTCGCATTTTTTGCGTCAACAAATTATATTTTACAATCATAGGTTTAAATCTCGATGATTATTTAATTTAGTATAATATTAATAGAAAGTAGCAATAGTTAAAATTATGATTATGTGAAATTTGTGCCAGCATCAAGTGCCGTTTACTCTTCACAAACACGAAGAAGAAGCCTAGTACTATATGCGTCATGCTCCAGTTGCATGTGCTGAAATCGATTACTTTTTCATTATATCTGATAATTATGTTATGTTATCACGATCGACGTCATTGCACATTTGGCGTTCCCATGAAGCACAGTCCTCCGACGCAGAGCCACTCCAAATTGCTTCTTTTTTTTTTTTTTAATGAGAAGTTAGTTATTCTTAGCCCCAAAGGCGGCAATAAGGTGCTTCACCATGCTTTTCCCTCTGGGTCGACTCCTGCCTCGCTTTCCACAAACCGCCTCACCGTCTTTTTTCAAGCCACCATTACGTTTGATGTTTCAAAAATACGCTAACTTACGGGACAAGACGCGGTGTATGAGCCAGTTCTGCTTGATGTATAACTCGTGTAGAATGTCGATGCGTTTCTTCTTCTTGATCCATCTCGGTCTCAAAGGCGGCAATAACGTGCTTCACCATGCTTTACTTCCATGGCATGCAATTGTGTTAGTGTCAGAGATTCGTCATTATCCACTGGCCCAGTCCCTACAGCGTTGACGATATCTGCTCTGTCCATGAGTCTTCAAACATGAGGTGGTATATTGCTTGCCGCTTGGTCCGCTCGCTCATTACACTTTATGTCCGAATGACCACGTGTGTAGATCCAGGTGACGGAGGTTAAATGCGATTTTCGAATGCTTTCTACACATTCAGATGTCATACAGCCTGTTGCTATCTTTTGAAGCATTATCTGATAACTGTAATGTCGAAGAGGCTAGAAGTGTATGATATGCGTAATAACACAACTTCTTTTCACAACTGTGAACATGATATCACAGGGTTCTGTAGAGGGGAAGAGGACAAAAGGCAGAGCTGGATACACCTTGATAGTAAGGATAAACTACTTCTCCTTTTGGGCGTTTAACGGCTGCACATTCTGACTGACAGTTTTGGTTGTTCGTACACTCCTGAACTTTGGTCCTGATCCACATATTAGGTTTTTCACGCACTTCGGATTACAGATCTGACTTATTTGCGTGCAGACTGTTGGTTCTGTGTCACTCAGATGCACTCCGACTGTAAAGAAAATACCTAACAGTAGTCATTTAGTACTGACTGCTTGTTTTGCTGGCAACGCGTGTATTCTCTGTTCTCCAAAGGAAGACCCTGAACCCACACGGGATTACACTACGAGGCATGGTATAAGGAAAGGGGGAAAAAAAGGCAGAGCTAGACATACTTGCATACAGAATTTGGGTAATAACAGACCCGATGAGATGAAATGCTGTTTTGTAGGAACATGATGGTGAATACCTTAGCAGATGCACCTCTACACCATATTTGTAAGATGTTAGGTTTAAGTGTATTTGAGGTTACGGCATGTGAGGTGATGAGGTCAGTTTTATTCTTCTCATCTTTTCAAGTAACATTTTTGAGATGCTAAATCCATTTGAATTGAAATGACTACAGCAAGATTCTTAGAATACCATGAACCAGTAAGACACACAGACATTCTACATAATCTGAGCATTTAGGAGAACTGGATCATGAACAGCATTATGTCCCGAATGCCGAGGTATACTAGCCATGTTAAACGTCACGGCGGTGGTCTGAAGTTAACGCTGACTAAGACAACAGTTCCGGAAAACTAGGCAGATGTAGATCTTCGCGGATATAGATAGACGCTGACGATACATTAGCTATGAAAGTAGATAGGGCTATAAAATCGGCCAGAAAGATAGAGACTTTTATTCGTGAAGTGAAGAGAATGACGCTCTGTAAAGAACGTGCTGATCGATGACTAAATCCATGAAGAACCAAATCGGTCGAAAAATTAATACTGCCTATAAGAGAAATGAAGATTGAACAGCCTTAAAAGTCTATGGTTAAGCACCAACAAGGAGATCAAAATTAGAATTTTGAGAGCATGCGTCTTTCCTGTCGGTACATACGGATGTGAGTCGTGGACTATCTCTCAGTCCTAAGAATGAGAATAGGGGCTTTTGAGCTGAAATGCTATAAAAAGATTCTCGGAATATCTTGGACAAAGAGGAGGGGAAATACTGACATCTTGAAAGATCTGAACATCAAGGAAGACTGGCTAATAAACAGCATCCTGTCTCGAAAGCTGAAATGTTTTGGTCATATCAAGCGCCATGACGGATTGGAAAAAAAGTTATACAGAAGTCATGGTACCAGGAAGGAGGGGCAGGGGCCAACTGACGAAGATGGGCACAGGATATAAGTGACTCCTTGAGCATGAAAGTGCATGAGGAGGGAGAACTGGCGAGAGACCGGGTTTCTTTCAGACAGACTGTGATGAGAGCGACGTTTTGAAAAGGACCTGCTACATGATGATGATAAGAGAAATGAATCCTGGTCTACCTCTGCACTGATGTGTCAGACAAATGAATACTAAACGATTGGATTTTCCATCCTGGGTTGCTATCTAAGGGTTTACCATACCATCGACTCCTGAATCGACTCCTGCCTCGCTTCAACAAACCGCGTCACCGTCTTTTCCAAGCCACAATTACGTTTGATGTTTCCAAAATACGCTAACTTATGAGACAGGATGCTGTTTATGAGCCAGTTCTCCTTGATGTTTAACTCGTGTAGAATGTCGATGTTTTTCCTCTTCTTGATCAATGGTATTTTGAGAATTTTTCTACATATTTTGATTCAAAAGCTCCAATCTTTTTCTTCATTGATTGAGTGAGAGTCCAGGATTCACAACCGTTAAGTTGCCACAGGAAAAATGCATGATCTGAAAATGTTTGCTTTAGCTAGTTTACAGGTGCTTTGCCATAGGTTCTTCATGCTGTTTGATCTCTGCAATGAAAGTCTTCTTCTGACTTCTTTCGAGCTGTCGCCACTGTTGTGCACTAAAGAACCTAAGTATTTGAAATCTGGAAAATTGTTTGTTTCTTCATTTTCTAATTTGGTATGTGGTTGGTGTGGTGCATTTACTGAGGACATTGTTATTAATTTTTTTTTTTTTTTTTTTTTATCAAACGATAGACCCCTAATAAGTAAACTGTTACGACATATTGTTAAGGAGCAGTGATACTATTGCCCTCCCCCGCACCCCCTTTTTTTTCAACCATTTGTGCCACTGAAACAACACAGGGAAGGACTCTTCAAGACTTATGTCATATTTTCAAAATTAGTTACTCAATAATTTCTGACTGCAGCAATTTCACTGTGCAATACATACAATCTTTAAGTCATACTGGCAGTCTGAAAAACTTGTATAACAACATTCGTAAAAGTGTTGCTGCCTTGAAGAACTTGACAAGATAAACACAACAACGAACATGATGATCCCACAAAAGTTTCTCGTCATGAAGTGTGTTCGAATCCTATTTATTCTACATGTAGCAGGCATTCTATTCGTTGCCTACAAGATTTATAGCAGCAGCACGAGTCAGCCGGGTACCACCAACGCCTCAGCCCGAGAGTACTTTGCCCGGAAGTCCAATGGCAATGCCTCATCAAGTGTTGGCTTTTCTAGTAACAATAATGTTATTGAAGTTCAATATACTGCTACAGTTGCTGAATTGGGCGAAAACAACGATGAATTTATTAACGAAGAAGAGGATGAAGGTGAAGTAAACACTGACACCGTGAGTGACGATGAAGATAATACTGATGCCGCTACTGAAAATATTGAACAACCTGAGCAAGGTAAACAAAATAATATTGCTTTTCAAAGTAAAAATGTGAATAGAAAGAAAGACGACACCCGAGCAGGAAGTTCTGTTCTTTCTCAGCAAACTTCAAAAAGCAATGGTCCAAACTTGGCTTACAAGAAAGAGCCGTTAGGGTTGCCTCTGTCCAGCTTGGGTACACCACACTGGACAATAATGTATGCCGGGAAGTATAGCAAGTCGCTCTACTCACCACCAGCGAACGAAAGACCCATTCAGCGACTTCCTGGGGTGAGTGCCGTGTGGCGTCTGAAGCTCGTACACCATGCGAGAGGTTTCTGTTGTTACTTAATGTGGCTGGCTTTCTGCTTGTGTTCTTGTGTCTCTTTCTGGCTCGCAGTTGCCTTACTTCATAAACTCATTCTCTCTCTCTCTCTCTCTCTCTCTCTCTCTCTCTCTCTCTCTCTCTCTCTCTCTCTCTCTCTCTCACACTCGTTGTGTATCTCTGTCTCCCGCTCTCTCTCAGTGTGTTTCTCTGTGTGTGTGGGGTTTTTTTTTTTTTTGGTGTCTCTGTAAATCAGTCTTTCTCCCTCTGTTTCTCTTTTATGTTCTCTCGTTTTGCGTATTAGCTATTTTTTCCCCTTCTCTTTTTATTTGTAATTATATTTCGCTGTCTTTAACTCTTTCTGACCGTCACTCACAATGCGAAGAAATTTAAATCTCCAGGACCAGATAACATCAAAATTTATGAATAAAAACCCGCAGGTCAAGGGGTTTAAACTGTTAATAATAGTTCTATTATATATATAAAACAGCTGACATATACATGATGACTTTTTGAAATCTATTTTCATACCTCTGCCAAAAACACCCCAGGTGCAGTAGATTGTAGAGAACATTAAACATTTAGTTTAATGATTCATGTATCTAAAATATTAATGAGAATTGTAATGATAAGAATAAGGTTAAGCATTAAACCAGTTTTTTTAGATGATCATTGTGGTTTTGTTGAAAGCAAAGGCACAAACAACTCTATAGTTGTCTTAAGAACACCTCCAGAAGAAATCATTTTAAAAGAAAAGAGATCTGTTTTTGTTCTTCCCATCCGGGGTCCCTAAATATAGCCGGGGCTTAAATATTTATCTTTTTTGGTAACGGCATCTGTATTATGAGGTGCGGTAAATGACTTCCAATAGATTTACATATTGAATGTGACATCTAAAGACATATTTTGCATTCATTACTTGTAATTAGGGACTCGTCGTGGTGTAACGACTGGAAGCTAGCCTGCGGATCAGAAGGTCGTGGGTTCACTTTTCAAAAATGACCTTGGCTACCAGGTCGACTCCCTGGAATGCACAAGGAAACAAGGGAAGAAAAGGCTTCTTGTGTGATGCTCACCATATCGCCCACCCAGTTTTGATTGGTCTATAAAATACAGGTCTAGCCCTAAATGCCCAATAGGTCTTAGGGTGAGGAAAAAGAACCTTTACCAGTAACTAGCTGCGTACGTGGCTTAGGCGTTGCGAGTCTGACTCGTAATTCCAACGTACCGCGATCGAATCCCACTGCTGGCTGCGTGGATTTTTATCATGGTGTGGGGCGTCGCATTCCACCCAGCCTTAAATGCGTACCAGGATGTCTGTCCTGGAAAGTAAAGACGCCCAGCGTAATGCTGACCACATTACACCCCTAGTGGCGATTGGTCTGTAAAAAATATAGGTGCTCTTCCCATATGCCTAATACGCCTAAAGGCGTGAAAAGGGATCTGCACTGGTATTTTTTTTTCCACCTAACTGTTGTTAACTCCTGTAATTTCTTCAACACCTTTGCAGGCGATTGTCATCGGGTCACCCAACTCCGGCATTAGACCCCTGGTGGACTTCCTCGAAATGCATCCACAGATCGTTCCTCTTAAAAAAGAGATCACCTTCTTTGACAATCAGGACAGGCTTCAGTTTTTCTCTAGTGACTTCTTGTCTCAGATGCCTGTCACCTATAGTAACCAGGTAAAGTATGTATAATGCCAGGGACTGTAATAATGACAGTAATAATTGACAAGTAATGCTGTTCCTATTTTTGTCATCTGGAGTACATCGTGACAGTAGGAAAGTTGGAGGGGACGAGAGAGGCAGAAGGAGACCGAGAGAAAAGATGCTGGACAGTTAGGCATTATGGAATTGTAGATCGTCTTTGTCAGATTTGACTGAAAGTCTACGAGAGAGAACTTTTTGGATAAACATGACTACCAACTCCACACAGCATAGACTTTAGAAAGATTTTATCATCAACGTCTGTGGGGATAATGCAACATATACCGCGTGTCTTTATTTTGAGTAGTTTTTTACACATTATCTCTCTACTCACAATCAATTCTACTGGTAAAATTGTCAACACTATTAAAATGTGGCCCTGAGTGTCAGAAAAAAACATCGTACATTGTTGAACAACTACATACAAAAACCTGCCCCTGCTATGGAATGCAAAAATACTCTTTCTTCACTATTTAACACCATTATAGCAATGATCAATTACCAAAACATCTGTATCTAAAGATGCATTTCGCAATCCTTACTTGTAATTAGAGAGCAGTCGTGGTGTAGCGGTTAGACATTCGCCTGTGAATCGGAAGGTCGTGGGTCCAGGTCCAGTACTGTTTAATGACTTTGGCTCCCAGGTTAACTCAGCCTTGAAAGGGTACCAGGTACAGTCCTGGGAAGTAAAGACATCAGCGTGATGCTGACCACACCAGCCAGTCAGTGCCGACTGGTTTATAAAATATATGTCGAGCCCTGTGTGCCCAGTACGCCTGAATGCGTGGAGAAGATTTATTAACTTTTAGTTTGTATAGTCACCATGCTAGGAATCAAACCTGTGAAATCCAAATGTTGTAGGAAATATGGCTAATATAGGCAACCATTGTGATGTTGGCACATGACCTGCCACTTAATATCGTGGGGCTAGTTGCATATGCCATGTCTTTAGTTTTTCTTTTATCTGTTGCGTTATATACCGCCACTCCTATCTCAACCCTGGTAAAAGAGATTAGGTACCTCGCTTGTTCACTTTCTTGCTAAATGTGTCAGTCGAGTTGAGTCAAGAATTGACATCCCAGCACTCGGGGCATTTCCATGCCTGCTCCGTCCTCATCTTCGGCAGCCAGCGCAGAGTTCAGTACTGATGGTACCGGTCACGCTGTGGTAAAATGTCCATCTTGCACTTTCTCTGAGTGTAGTGAGCCGACAAGACCCTCTGGTTACACCCAGGTGCCTCATTCTCTTCAGGCCTTAATAATCTTGATTCTCTACTGATTCCGTTGCTTGTTCCCAAAAGGCCTTGACCATATCTGCCTTGCCATTTATTAATTCACCACCCAGTGGTGCAGATCCAGCCAATCTGTCTGCCTGTTCATTACCTACTACGCCGGCATATCTGGAGATAAGATCCAAAGTATGCTTACTACCTGTGACCTTTCTAGTGAAGCTTGGCATTCTGCTCTTAGCACCCTTGTCTTCACCTTTCTTTGCATGCTTTCAAAGTCTGTTACAAATACGACATGTGTATGCATCTTGTTCTCTAGCCACTGGAGAGATGCAGTTACCGCCTCCACCACCATGCTCAATTTGTCACTTATATTTGACGCCCATTTTCGTGCTGGCCAGCCCTTGTTTCTCTTACTCGGAACCCTGCCCTCTGCAAACGTTCTTTACAGTTCACTAAGGCCTTTAAGATGACCGATGAATGCCAGTTTTCTTCTTCTCCTCTGAGTTCGGTTTCGTGCGCTCATGTCAGACTGTCATGTTGGCTGCCGCTATAACTTCGCATGTCAGTTGCACCTCCCTTGTCGTTGCCGAAATCTTGTTCTGCACACTTCACCCTTGAAAAAAATTTTTTTTTTGTAGTTGTAAGTCTTGTGGGCAGCCCTTCAGAATGTGCTCAGCTGTTTGTGGTCCCGTCTGACATAAACACTAATGGGACTGTACAGTCTTTATTTTAAGCATGTGGTAGTTAAACCTGCGGTGTCCTGTTCTTAGACGGAAATTATTGCATGCTGTTTTCTGTTGATTCTGTTGATAAGGTCTTGTGACTTTGCGTTGCTGCTTCTAAAAGACAAGAGACTGTAAGCGAGCCAAGTGGCCTTGATGTTGAGATCGTTATGGACATCAAAATAATTAATGAATGTGTTTTTTTTACCAATACAGGTGACAGTTGTGAGGGCACGGTTTTCATACTGGACCAGGAAGTCTATCTGCGACCTGTACTTTCGGAACAAGATGTTGAAAGTGATTGTTGTGTTGAGGGACCCAGTGTCTCGGATACTGTCACAAGTCACTAATGTATGTTGTCATCACCAGCCTTAGGTTTCGCTCTTAACCTTCATGTTATGATATTGTCTGGACTCCTGTATACCTATATTTTACATAATAAATAGATGTTTATGCAAAACGACAGACATAAATATAAAAGCGTACATATGTATATATATATATATATATATATATATATATATATATATATATATATATATATATATATATATATATATATAGCAAGACGTGATTGTGTGTACTTCGTAGAAATTGTCTGTTACCCAAGTCATGAAAGAAAGTTTCTTGCACATAATCAGACAGGTAATATGTGAGACAAGTCACTAATGTAGGCTATGTATACTATAAATAATCCAATAGTCACATACATAACAAGTCAAGCGTGTATGTATACTGCACTTAACATTTTATATTTCACAAATATTCTTATATCGATCACACAACTCACACATGTATGTATAGTACACATAAACAATCATTTATATTTTTCTATGATTAATGATGCGTTTAAACATACAATCAATTTTACACGGGGCCACGTTAGCGCAGTCGATAGCAGACTCGCTTTCAAGTGCAGCTGCGACTTGCTGCAGCCCACGGTCGGTGTTCGAAACCGGGCGGTTCCTAGGAGTTCACCCAGCCTCTAGGAAATGGGTACCAGATTTAAGACTCTGGGGTAAATGGAGGAACGTCGCTGTAGCTACGGAGTTGCGTGCGGACAGCGACACAGGTGGACAGTTTCTTATCAGCTGTCCGTACTGGTGGAAGAGCACTTCTTGTTTATAACCGTGTGCAATGACGCTGGTTCACATCTCCCGACTTTACTTTACAGTCATACAATGTTATAAACATGACTTGTTCAACAAAATCGAATCGTTTTCGTCAGAAAGTGAGTACAGAAGGTCCCCTAAGGCGAATTTAAAATGCATCCAGTCATCCCCTTGTGAGATGCAAATTTTCGTTATTTTGAAGCCCTACTATGGCTCTTGCGGCGCCCGTGGCTAAGGCGTTGCGAGTCCGACTCGTAATCCAACGTACCGCGATCGAAACCCAATGTTGGCTGCGTGGATTTTTATCATGGTATGGGGCATCGCAGGTCGACCCAGCCTTAAATGGGTACCAAGATGGCTGTCCTGGGAAAGTAAAGACGGCCGGCGTAATGCCGACCACATTACCCACCGAGTGCCGATTGGTCTGTAAAAATATGGGACCCTCTGCCCATATGCCCGATGCGCCTCAGGCGTAATAAGGGATCTTTACAGCCCAACCATAAATATGGTCTAATGACTGAACGCGGTTTCTGGGACCTCTCCACGGGTGATCCTCATCCACATGGTGGCGCTTTGTGTCATCGGGTGTTTATGGCTTGTGTGATGTCCTAGTGGTGTAAAAGTCCACTACTGCTACTACTACAGAAGGTCCCGCCACTCACTACAAAAGATCTTTTACCTTAGCGCGAAAAAAAAAAAAAAGAGATTAATTTAAACAAAACGGTGCGGGTACTTTACACCAATGAGTACTGCCAGAAGGAAAACCCCTATTGTAAATGTCCAATGAAACAGTTCCCAAATTTCTGAGAAATTACTTGATATTGTTGCTACGTTAAAATTGATATCTATCACTGTCTGGGTTTAGGGGCATCCTTAGTGTGTTAAAACTCTCTTTCCTTCTCAATACATGTCGTAAAAGACAACGTATTATTGTTGATATATGTTAAGACAAAAAGGGTCAATATCGCAGCCTAGCTTCAGACCACATCGCACCGTGTCAATCACCCTTTTAAGGGCGAACTAAGGAGGTGGAGGGGGGGAGGGGGGGAGGTAATGCATCGCAATACTGTAATTAAAAGCAAAAGTACAGTGACGGATTTCTGTTTGATTATGTATGATTCTTATTACACACACAGACACACACACACACGCATACACAAATTTATGTATTATATTAGCGAGCAGGCTGATACACTAGCTGCTGCGGTTCCCCTGGCCGGTGAACTACTTGATAATGAAGAGGGCGATGTGAAGAGTCTCTAGGATTTCATGTATATTGCAATAGAACAGAGAATATATACACTGCAAGACTAATTCAAAAGGGAGTGAAAAGTGTGTGTGTTTGTGTGTGTGTGTGTGTGGAGGGGGCGAGACGGGGGGAAGTGTGTGTGTAAGTGTGTGTGTGGAGGGGGCAGGGCAGAGGTGAAAAGTGTATGTGTGTGTATGTGTGTGTGTGTGTGTGTGTGTGTGGAGAAAGCGGGGCGGGGGTGAAAAGATGTTCTGGAAGATACTAAAACGTTTGCCGACTTTTAACCAGACTGCAGCTTATATTGTTAACATGTCGATTCTTCTCTGGCTACTGAACAGAGGGACAGAGCACTTGTGGAAATGTCTTGAATGCAGTGATTTCAGTTCTTGATTAACTGATTTATACATTAGTTTACTAATGATTTCACAATATATTATCGCTTCAGACGTCACTGCACACGGGGTTTTCTGCTGCATGCTCATTTTCCAGGTACATTCCCAGCCCCCCCCCCCACCCCCCACCCCCCACCACCATCATCCTTCATCCGCTAGGTAAAAAACCTACAAGTACTCGTATTGTTAACAATATGTGCTTACATCATTTGTCGGCTATTCCCTAATATGTGGAAATAAATTATTTAGTACTTTATATCATGTTTAGATAATAGCAAAATGTCATTAGCAAAATGTCAAGTGTATTTTGAAACATAAATAACATTGATTGCCTAGAAATGGCTAAGGAAAGTAAAATAGTATACACAACAATTAGAAGAAGACACATAAAGTTCTTTGGTCGTGTGATGATAAAAAAGGCACTGGAAAATATCGTGACGACTGGAAAGATCATTGGTAGAAGAGGCAGAGGCAGACCAAGAGAAATGGTGGTGGATGGCTTAAAACAGTGGCATGGAGGAATATCATCAGTGGAATGTATCCAGAACATCAAAGACCGAGATCTGTGGAGATGCATGAGCGCCTACGCCAGCTAGTAAGGCACTTGACGATGGTGATGATGATGATGATGATGATGATGCTAATGATGATAATGATGAGTTATGTTACTTTTGACTGATTTCTCGATCAGAGCAACAAAGGCAGAGCTGGTCAGCTGGTTGTCGCACAACAGGGACAGACCTTGAAGATCAACAACGATACAGAAACCGCCGAGTGGGGCCGGTATGTGGAGTACCTGAAGATGTGGACACAGTGCTTCCCCAAATCACAGGTAAAAACATCTTGTTGAAATGCAGGTACATCAATGATTAATCACCTGTTTGTTTTCTCCTTTGTAATCATGTACGCGCACGAGTACTATTTTTGGGTACCCTCCATCCCTACCCGAATAAAAATCGCAATGTCTCTTCCAGAATGTCGTAAAAGGCGACTAGTTAGAGATTTGTGAAAGTTGAATGTGTTGAATAAAAAAAAGTCGCAGATATAAAAGGCTAACACAGCGAGCTAAATGGTCTTTTTTTTTTTTTTTTTTTAAAGCCAGAATTGAGAGACTTTCGGTCACATTTTAAAAAAGAACTGAGGAAAATGTTGTTTCTATTTTTAGAAGTTTGGGGAGGGGAATGGGGAGGGGGGCTTACAAAGGGAAAAGATGAGGGGGAGGGGGGTGTCGATGTGAATATGTTGAGCCGTTTGCCTCTCGATCTTACTGCTATGGGAGCCATCGTAGTATAGCAGCTAGACGCTTGCCTGCAGATTCCAGGTTCCTAGGTTATTGCGTTGTTCTTTTTTTTTTTTTAAACCATGCCTTCCAAGTTGACCCGGCCTTGAATTGGTATCACTTAAACTCACAGGCAAAAGAGCCGAAAGGCATGATACTGAACGCATTAATCATGGAGATGAAATGGTCTTTGGAAATATGAGTCTTTGCGTCATATGCGTTTTGTTCCTTTGCGTTGCTCAGAGAAAAAAAAAATTGTCACGTTTAACCAGCATTCCTGAGGGGAGATGTCTTAGGTTATAATTGTGACTAGGTTATGTGCTACATATAAAATAGCTTAGCATTGCTCGCCACCAAGTAGCTCTTGCATTGGGAATGCGATCACAGGAGACAGACCCAAATATAGACACAACCGGCGACGATGTCGTCTACCGGCGAGCCAATGGGTGACCCGGTCGCTGATGTACTAGCGTGTAATGGGGCTTTAAATACTACCATAATGTCACAAAAAAGGCAGAGGGGTTGGAGCGAGATTAATTATCTCAGTCAAAGGAATTTTAAAAGACACACCCTCAACAATATCTAAGTCTCAATAATTACAATGTGAAAATAAAATGACATTACTATGTAAACTAAGTGTGATCAATCTAATGTGAATAGAAAATATTATTTATATGTAAATTAGTGTGATAAATCTAAGGTGAATATTTACAATATGATTAAAATATATTTGAAGAAAAAGAAAAAGAAAAAAAAAAGAAAAGGCGAGAAAGAAAGAATTACACAAAACAGAGAGAAAGCATGACAGAAAGAAAGAAAAAAAAAGAACAAAGGAAAGAAAGAACGAAAAAAAAGAAAAAAAGAAAAAAAAGGAGGACAATTTTAGCATTATTCATTAATGATTAATCAACTTCCTGATTACCGTGTGCCACAATGCTCTAATCACACAGAAAATAACAGTAACTGGTATAATAATGGCACCTTTCAAAGAAAAGAAATATAAGCTCTCTCTATCTCTATCTCTGGCTCTCTCTCTCTCTCTCTCTCTGGCTCTCTCTCTCTCTCTCTCTCTCTCTGGCTCTCTCTCTCTCTCTCTCTATCTCTCTCTCTCTCTCTCTCTCCTCTCTCTCTCTCTCTCTCTCTCCCTCTCTCTCTCTCTCTCTCTCTCTATCTCTCTCTCTCTCTCCTGCCCTTTACCACTTAGACATAAATTTCTTTTGCTAACAGCAGTAAAAAGCAGCAGACATTGAAAATCCAAGTTACAAAAAGGTAAATTAGGATCTTCATGAACCAGTATCATAAAATCCAAGTCCCAAGGAGCAGTTTGCCTTCTTCTAAAATTGCCTGTTTTAATTATATTTCTTCCTTAGATTCACATTGTTGAATGGAGCGATATCATGCAGCGTCCCTCCTTGACAGTTCACATAATTGAAGGATTCCTTGGTGTCCCGTACAAGCTGAAAGCGGATAATTTCTTCAGAGATGAAGCCAGACGAGTGTATTGCATCCGGCCGCTACACACAAAGAGCAAGACATGCCTATCTGACAAAAGAGGGAAGATTCCGGAGTTGACACCTCAGGAGGAAGCTCTCATTTACAACTTTTATAGCAAACATAATGAGGAGTTATTTAAATTACTCGGGCAGAGGTACCATTGGGGACCATAAATTGAGGAGCTCTTTGCACAAATTCTTCTTCCTCTTCTTCGGCATTCTGAGCTCTTGAGGTTCATTGCACCCGTCTTCACTCATCTCTCTGGTTGGCCTTCTCTTTCCAGTTGGTGACACCAATTGTATGCAGGTCTGTTATCTCTCCTTTGTCTTCCTGGGCTGCCTCGTGGTCTATGACCATTCAGTTACCTTGTGTATACAGTTTTTACCTCTCTTTCATCAGACATTCTCTCATTATGCCCCAGTCTTTTCAGTCGTGTAGCTCTCATGCTGCTAGTAATCTATGGTGTTTTAAATAGATTAAGTTGTTGCTTTCGTTGTAACTACATTGCCTTTCATTAATAAGCACTACACGACATCCCGGCAGTTTCAAGGCAACGGCAATATTGGTAAATGATTCAATGTGCTGTATGAGAAAATGACAAATCACATTTCGATAACCTATGCTGTAGAATGTCGTTTATTCATTGGCATAATCCATATATCTCACACTTGTATACCATTTTAACACAGCAAATTCATCACGTTTTTTTTAAAGCTCTTTGTCGATCTTTTTTAAGCAATTCTTCTCCTTCTTAGCCTTTGCATCATGATCACCCTGGTGAAAAGTTTTGGTATGTCGTTCATTTCTGTAACTTCCGTCTTATTCCAGAACAGCTAGCTTATTTGTATAAAAGTTTTAAAAAAAGTAAAGATCCCTTTTCAAGCCTTTAGGCACATTGGGCTTATAGGAATAGCACCCACATTTTTACAGACCAAACGGCATTATGTTGGTAAGCTTATCTGTATGCTGACTGTTAACTGCTTTATCGCCTTTCAGACAAATTTACTTGAAGGAAACACGCCTAGTTAGTCGTCTTTTACGACATGCTTGTTGGAAGGAAGGCAGTGGGTGTGTTCTATCTTCCTCCAAAACGAATCACAGAACCCATACAGCGATTAGGAATTTAGTACTGGGCAGTTCATCAAGAGGTATTTTATTTGTTAATTGGATTTATCTGAAAGGGATGGCAAAAGGGGAGGGGGTGGTAAATGGACTCGAGGCATGGCGGCGACAGCCTCTGGTGCAAAAGGCTCTACTGAAGGCTGGGCTTTTTTTACATGGACTTCTAGTAATTTCCTCTACTCCATGGGTAGTAAGATCGGACGCCCTTGTGCATTGTTCTTAAGCATCATTCTCTAACACTACGTGTCTTTGGGTCACCAGTTTCTGTTGACTGTCTGATCAGCTCTTTCCACCTTTGGCACTCAGTTGCGATGGACTTCATGGTTGCATGCCTGAGGCCTGTCAAGTCAGTCAATTTCTGTTACCAGGTCTTTCTTGGTCTGCCTCTTCTCCTCTACTGAGGGGGGAAAGGGCGGGGGAGGGGGGGGGGCTAGTTTTACCACATAATATTGATATAATAGTAAAATCACCAGGAGCAAAAGAAAAATTTTTAAAAAATGTTGCGATTGGTTTTGTAACGTCCTGTAACGGTAGGCAAGTAACTTTATATACGTGATATATTTTGCTTCACATACTTGATATTTTTTGCTTTATATACGTGATATATTTTGTACTGTTTCTTGTGGCGACTTTCCGGTTTACACTGAATAATATGCTCTTTGTGATATCAAAGGGGAAAAAAAAAGGAAAACTGACTATGATTTCACCCTTCTTTCAAGAAATAAAATGTAACCCTAGTCTCACATTTGGATATCATTAGGGGGAAAAAAATCCCATCTTTGAGTTTTAAAACTATTAGTTGTGTGTATTTTCCCCCGACTTCCTGTTTGTATGAAAATACTTGTTTTCCCTCTAAGTCATATCGCTAATAAAAGCCTGCGAACTCTTCTACTTCTTTTGCCCATTCACCAGCTGGTAACGCTGCCGGTAAGTTCTGGTTGCTCGTTCATTTCTAGTCTTGTTCCAATGCACATACCTTTACAGTCCTAGTTTACTTGTATGCAGACTGTCGGTATATAAGGTATATGCACTCTTACTTTGAATGAGACACCTAATTATTTCGCATTTTACGATATTCTAGTCATGAGGCAGCGGTTAATTCTCCCCCCCCCCCTTTTCCATCTCCCCCTTTCCCCATTAAAAAAAAAAACACACATACTGCAACAGCGAAATCGAAAAGATGTAATCAAGTGACTTCGTTCACAAACACATAGACACAAGATTGTGACTGGTACCATCAGTATTGAAACTCTGCGCTGGCTGCTGACGATGAGGACGGAGCAGGTATGGGAGTGTCCCGAGTGCTGTGATGTTAATTCTTGACTCAACCCAACTCAACACATAGACACAACTTTCTAACCTGAAATATCTTATTAGAGAGCAACTGTTTTTTGAAAAAGACATGGCTTAAAGATTAAATGCTCTCTAAATTTGTTTCTGCTTTTGTCTTCAGTGCCAAGAATCTTCTCTTAACCTGATTTGCAGATTTAATAACATCGAAGATCGCCTATTAAGCAGAAGACTGCAGTACTAATTTATTATTTCACAGTTTAATTAAGAAATACCCTGAAACCCATCCATCCATTAAATCGCCACTGATTGAAGTGTCTTCAAAACGATAGATCTATGCCAAGCTTTAGTTCGTTCAACATTTCATGAAAACACTTGCAACCCATTTTCTCGAAAACTGCCAGTTAGATCACAACGATTTTTTGCATGCAGCGTTAGAATATCCATGACGTTAAAAAACAATTTTTTTTTTTCACTAAACAAGAATATCATAAGCCGTGTTTTTTTTTTTTTTTTTTTTTTTCTGACTTGCGACATATTTTATCATGAAACTGTCTTGATACACTTTTGGAAGGTTTACTTTCATTAGCTTCCAAGTGATGCACACTATGACTAATTTCATGATTTTCTCCTGCAAAGTCGCGCTCTTAGTCACCTTTCGCCAAAAGGTCAAAGGCACATCCAGAAATGCAAGAGATTTGGTCAGCATCACATAATAGATAATGCCGCCTCTCATAATGCCATATCAGAGGAAGATAAAGTACCAACGACATCTAATACAAACGATGGCTTGCTAAGGAAAAAGTCAACTTTGACGACACCTATTTGAAAGCAGAGTTGTTGCAGCTTGTGAACAAAACAAATAGGACAAAGGTGTATTATATTGACAAAATCATTTTGGAATACGGCCGCACTTCTCCGTTACTCCCTGCATATTATTCACACCTCAGACTGATAGAGCTTGTTTGGGCCAAAATCAAAAGACAAGTTGACGAAATAACGGTACATTTAAAATGTGTGACGCTGGAGTTCTGACAAGTGCGTCCCTCTCAAAAATAGACATTCATTTCAAGAAAAGGTGTGTTTAACATGTGCTCCGAGAGAAAGACGAGTACTGGCACAGAGATGGATTACAATGTGTTTAGCCAGTAACAATTATCAACCTTATGGCGTCGTCAGATTCGGAATGATTACAACCATTTTCTCGATAACTGGTTGAACATCATCAACCCGTTAGGTACATCTACTTTTAAACAAATACATCTCTGTGTCCAAATGTGTTAACCAATAAACCGTTTGCTGTGGAATTAGGATGCATCGTGGAGTCTAGTGGTGACTGAAGGGAAATACTAACTATTGCGCATTGCGAATATGTTTACAATTGCACAAGGCAGACAGTTGCCTGGATCTGCAACACTGGGCGCTGAGTTGATACATGACAAAGCAGATGTGATCAAAGCCCAGTGGGAACAAGAAATGAAGTCATTAGAGAAAATAGATTATCATGGCCTGGAGAGAATGACACACCTGGGTGTGACCAGATGGCCTAGCTGGCACACTATACTCAGGGGAATCGCAAGATGGACATATAATCACACTGCGTCCGGTACCATTAGTATCGAAACTCTGCGCTGGCTGGTAAAGATGTACACAGAGCGCTAAGGAAATGTCCCGTGTGCTATGATGTCTTTCCTGACCCAGCTCAGCTCAGCTAAACTTAAGTGACAACAAATAAATTTTGTTTACATATCAATCTATTATGAAGACACTCCTCTGACAGAAAATGAAATCAGAAATTCAGATTTTCACTGCAAAATCTTAAAGTTCACTTCACTTATTTACAAGGATTCAAAAAGATCAAAGGGATCGGCTTGCATTCAGCATGCTGGCATCTGTGGACTACAAAATACCACTGTTTTTGCGTCATGGATATACTAAGGCTACGTGCAAAAAAGCATTGCGATCTAACAGGTAGTTTTCGAGAAAATAGTTTGCAAGTGTGTTCATGAGTTGTTGAACGAACTATAAATCCCGAGCCCATAATTTGACAGCAACTGCAACTGAACAAGATTCGACTACTCGAGAACGGTAATTTTCTCGAGTGTGATAATCGCCTTCTCGATAATCGAAATCGATGTAGCTTCACTACTAAAGAAATGTTTTATACGTAATAAAGACCTTAAACATACTTGGTGTACCTCTCTAAGGTGTTACAATTAGCCCTGTGAACTTACTTGACGTTCGTTTCGTCTCCAATACAAGACGTTAATAGCTTAACGTTTCATTTAATACCTGCCTTATACATAATATACTTTCATTTCCTTCATTTAAACTTCGGATGTATCTTTAGCCTAATGTAATGGACACGAATAAATATACAAAGGAGTACATACAATACAATTCATTGTAATATATGAAATGTCAATAGTTTATACATGTACAGCTAGGCATTGAGTTTCTGTTATAGAAAGTTAGTTATGTGTACTTTACAGAACACTGCAAAATTAACCCCGAAATTTTATATTTGCTTCTGGTTTTACTATAAAAGGATATTAGTTTGCTATTGTAACTGAACGGTTGGGGCTCTGTGTTATTCGAAATAAACGCAAAAGGATCTGCTGCCAACTCGTCCGCAGCTGGATCAATCCGCGGATGTCGGAATAACCAAGCACATTCATGACGCTAAAGACACAGAAGCCGGAGAATATCTTAACGTGAAGTCAGGTGTCTGTTTCATGCTATGTTGTAACTAGACCGAATT